TGAGAAGAAAAAAGACATGGCAATATTTTAACAAAGAGAGACAATAAGATTTACAGCAAGATTATATACATCATGTGATTCACTGTGCTTTTCTATTGGGAACTAAAATATGACTTATTGACTCTACATATTTAAAAACTTTAGATTGATTCCCCTTCATTTGTTCTGCTTACGTAAAGCTGTAACACAGAATCATGTCCTCGGTGTTACTTATAGCACAGAGTGACAGGCGGTTGTCAGCCTTCATATCATTAATCAGGAAAACAGATCACCTTACTGCTAAACACGATTTAACAACATGCCAAACGATAAGTGTAAGGTAAGAAATATAGCAACTACTTAATGGTTATATCACACAGTGAAACAAAATAAGACTAAAATTCCTATTTGAAGGATTGTTAAGATGTTATAGAATTTAGGTTTTATTGAAAAATTAAAACCTGTTAATATCTTGTGTTTTGTTGTTGGCTGAAAAAGCAATCTATGCTTCATCAAAGGAAATATGCTAACATTATAATTTACTGCTGATTAAATAATGACGACTAAAAGCTCCATAAAGAGCAACACTTTTAAAGATTTTACCTCTCTCTTTAATAGATGTTTTAGGATATTTTAGGCATACTGTTATTAGTAATAACTGCGTAACTTGTAGTAGACAAATATGGTATTTCAATGAGTTTGAAAATAAGGAAGAAATCCTGGAAGGCCCCTTTTTTAACTATTAAAATGTTATAAAAATACTAAAACTTTTACTGTTTATATCTAATATTACATTTCCTAATGCTTATTTCCAAATTGATTGATGGTTACTTGGTAGTGAGTGTAGTGGAAGGGGAGGTACTATCATGCATTTAGGTGTTTTTTTTGGGGGGGCTGCCTGATTGTTATACTCCTGCTCTGTTCCACACTCCTGGTTGAGTGAACAGTTTCATGTACTGCTGTCCAATGAACAAGCAAGTTGTTTCACCAAGAACTCTATTGATACCAGCCTCTCTCAGTCAATCACTGTCAGATTGTCTCCTTGCCTCCACGAGTCTAGTCCAGTAACTGTGTTCCCCACTTGCCTTCCTGTTTGCCCTGCCCTCACTGGATTATCGTCAAATTCAGTTTTGGCTCAGAACCAGGCCTACCACCAGCCTGCCACCAGCGTTTTCAGCCAACAACTGGCCTATTATGGCAGTCTTCAGACATTTCAGTCATTATCTGCCTTCTTTAAGTCTGCCATCAGCCTGTTCAGCCTGTCACCTGTCTGTTCAGCCATCATCCGCCTTCTGAAACCAGCTACCAGCCTGCTTATACAATCTTCAGCCTGTTTAGCCAGCATCCACCTTCTTAAAGTCTACATTAGCCAAAGTCTCTCTGTAGTTCAACTACTGAGGTCAGCACCTTGTGATAAGTGTATATCTGCTCTCTTCATCAGCCTTCCTGTCTAAACCATGTGAATAAAAAGTACCTCAGATCACAGAATCTTTTAAAAAAACAACTAATTCTGATAAAAGTTTTGAAGAACCACACAACAAAAGATTTAAACAGGTTAAAAATCCAATCAAGCATTATTGAAAGTAACATTGTTGTAGATTACTCTCAATAATAACAAACTGTACAGGTATTATCCCAATTCCGTCCATTACTATATTTCTGATAGTAAATACAAATCCAATTATGTGAAAGTGCATATTTTTAATGATCTATTTTTTGTAAAGCATTCAGGGTAAACAGATAAAAAGTTAGATCAGGTCAGGAGTTTTCTCTTAATCTATGCATTTAGAAATGCTGGAAATGTACCTTTAATGAACTAGTGATGACATTTCTATCACCATTACATTATTTTGTTTTGGACATGTCAAATATCTGCTATTTCCCCAGGATATCTTAAAATAAATATCTATCAAGAGCTAAGAGAAACTAATTTATCAGTAAAAAAGATTTCCTGAAGCTAATGTTAGCCTCCATAATCGAGGGTTTGACCACACGCTGACACAAAATAATGATAAATATCAGTGCTGCAGATAAAGGCAAACTTAGGCAAACTTATATTTTCTTCCAATTTTATCACATACCAACTAATAATATTAATTTTTTTTAGAACGATTCTGTGAGATTTAATCTGACAAAGTGATGCATATGTGTAAAGTCAAAGATGAAGAATAGATGGATATCAACTTAATTCAGAAATATAACCCCCCACCCTTCACACCTAGGTCCAATATCTTGTAGACTCTGCAAGTATTTAGAGTTAACCATTTGGAAAATCAAATGTTTTCTTCATACTTCCATATCTCCAGTTTTATTTATATATGAATAGCAGGTCTGACTGTATGTTTAGGGTAAAGCATCCTGCTGGAGAGTTTCCATTTCCAAACTGTCTTCCAGCCTTCCTTCCAGAACAGTCTGTATTGCAGTTTCCCTGTATCCTCCCAACCATAATGCTGACACCACCGTGTTTCTTGGTAGGAATCTGCAATGTTACTTTAAAAGTTTAAAATTGAACTGACAAGTAGGAATGCACCGATCCACTTTTTTCACCTCCGATACGATACCAATATTTGAAGTTTAATGTCGGCCGATACCAAAAACAGCACTAAATTATTACCTAAAAATAGTTTTATTGTGTGAAAAAACAATGGGATCATTCTTCTGTGCATATGATTTGATTTCCCTTTTCTTTAATAAAATAGGAAACAACCCAAATATAAATGTTATCACTCATTTATTTAACAACTGTGCACAAAATCATAAACCAAAAGTTCTCTGACTTAGTCAAAATGTAAAAAAAAAAAAGTGTCATTATCATTATTAAGTATCATCTCTGTGATTTTTTTTAGCCTGAATACTGTTACATGGAAAAATTTCACATCTTTCTTTCGCTTCCATCAAAGTTAGCTGCTTCACGCTGCTTCTCTTATGTTTTCCGAGTACGATAATCTCAGCATGTTCCTTGTTATGAAACTTCTGGAGGTGTTTCATTAAGTTGGTGATGTTATAGTTTGAAGATTTAACACCGCCCCTTGGAACATTTCTTCCACAAATATTGCACGTAGCCATTGGGCTAGTAGGCTGAGAGAGCGTGAAAAACCTCCACACCGCAGATCCTTTCACTCGCTCCATCCAAGTAGTATGCGGTTCTTTATATAAACGCACCATAAATACACACCAAAAGTAGTTAAAGTAACTAGATATGATTAAGTCAATGCCAAAAGCGGTAGCATTATTTTTTTCAGTGTATCTTTTGCAGTTTTTAACTGAAACCGTGTTCACCTGTACATGCATGTGTTACTGGCTTTTAAAATGTCATTAGTAGGGCTGCAACAACGAATCGATAAAATCGATAAAAATCGACTTTTAAAAGCGTTGGCAACGAATTTCATCATCGATTAGTCGTGTCGCGCGATTATTGCGTCATCCGCTGCGCCGTCATCACTGCCTCTTGAATGAAAGAGGAAGGAAAAAAAATACGGCAGAGCGAGTCAGCGCCGCAGGAGCAGTGTTGCCAACTCCGCGACTTTTCAGACCCCTCCAGCGACTATTTTTCAAAAAAGCGACTAGCGACAAATCTGGCGACTTTTTTCGGTGTCACTGATGGCTTTTGGAGACTCTTACGTGAAAGCATGTATCATTCCTACTCTGCCGTGGGGCGCCTCCCCCACCCCAACCGCGTTTTCCCGCAGGAGTCCCTCTCAGTCAGAGCCTCAGCGTCCAGACTGCAAATGAAGCGCGCATGCACCGGGATTGACGGCGCAAATTGATCACAATAATTAAAATAGCCTGCGCTTTGTAAAGTGAAAAAAGTGATAACATGCAACTTTTTTCAAAAGAAATTAACATGGCACGGAACCACCATGTTTGTTTGGTTTTAAAGTGGGGAAACGTTACGTTAGTTTCTCAGGTAGCTCATCTGATGCTTTCCTTATCTTGTTAGTAGGTTACAGACAGTGATAAGTTTGGCTACTTATTTTACTTTAAATTTCATTTGAACTAGCTTAAGCAGCGTTTACATTTACTTTATAAATAAATTAACTTGCAAATTATGAGGGCAAGACTTTTAAAGTTTAAATCTGGCAAAGATAAAGTAAAGATGATCCTGCAATTTATAGAAGTAAAGCAGAATAAAATCCAGCAAGATCAGTAATATGTCAATTAATTATCTGCCACATTCCCATGTAAATATCTGTCTTTGGAGGATGTGTTTTTTAGCACCCCTAGTTCTCTCATTTTTATTCCAAATACAATTTATAATTTGAATCACAGGGCTATTTTTATCTCTATGGTTCAGTATTTTCTCAAGTAGCAACTTTAACTGCTGTACTTTCCTGTCTTAAAAGGCAGAACTCTTCTAGTCTAAAAAAAAACTTATTTGTTGAAATGGGGGGGCCTATTGTTTGAACCCCTTAGAGGCTTTTAAAAACAAAAATTTCTTTTTTTGCGCTTTATGAAACAAAGTACCCTATATTTTGTGGATGTACATCTACATTTCTCATGTAAGTTTGCGTAGTTTTAACACAAACATTTATTTTTCATATTGCACCAGTACAGATAATGAGCAACCTGTACTTGTGTGCTTGTTTGTTCTGTCTATAATGTTTATTTTGGAATAAAGAGGTTAATATAAAAAATATTTTTTGTCCGATTCATCGATTAATCGAAAAAATAATCGTCCGATTCATCGATTTTTAAAATAATCGTTAGTTGCAGCCCTAGTCATTAGGATGGAGATCAGTGAGGACTGTAGGAGTATTTTGTGTTTGTATCATTTGTTGGAATTGAGAACTAGAATTGGGATAAAGGATGTTAGGGTTGGGCCTATAGGAAGAACTCAATGAATGGGAATGTAGGCCACTCAAAGGACAGCTGTACCGGCTTGTGTGACCATATATTGTTGAATGAGGTATAGCAACCATATAGGTGCAACGGTGGAGCCATGATAACTCTGGTGGAAAAAAGCTGCATGAAAAGGTCAGAAAAGACATTAGGCAGCTCGATCAATCGATAGAAAGACTTACATTCCAAGTGTTTTTTCTTTGGGGCTGTCTGCTCATGTGTGGTGGCCTTACACACGGCCCTGGAGACCTCGGAGCCCGTCAGGGTGTACTGAGCCGCGGCGATGCGGTCCGTCAGCGTCTGACCCGACATCTTCTAAATATCCGCTGACTCCAATCCCCACGATCAGCATCCACCACTCCCACCCACGCACCCAAAAAAGAGCGGACAGCCTGAATAATCCCAGCCGCCCTGCAACACGCCGCACAGATCCAGCACTAGAGAGGAGACGCTGGGACACTTTCTGCTCCCTTTGATTGCATAACACCTGGAAGTCGGTTCTGTCGGATATGCATGCGTTTCCTCCTCTGAAAACAAATAATAACAAAATCGGTAGCAAAATCCAATCCAAACCCCGAATAAATGTGGTTTGTGGTGTTTCTCAGCCTACAGGATGATGCTGGTCGCTGCCTCCCCCTCCTCCCTGTGTTCCTTCCTTCCTTCCTTCCTTCCTTCCTTCCTTCCTTCCTTCCTTCCTTCAGCCTCCTGGATGATAATCCTCACCAGCAGCGGGTTTAACGTCCCTGTGTATCAGCAGGGCATGCAGGGGAGCATCATCACCATCATTATCATCTTCATCCCCACTACCTCGCTCCTTGATCGCGGCCTGTGAGCCCCAAGATATGCGCTGCAGCTGGTTGGATGGTGATGGTTTCCGGTGAATTCACATCCTCTTATTTTATTTATTTATTTTATAACTCATGTATATCTCCCTTCTCGCAACCCCCCCTTGCTTTGAGTCAGGTGACGCTGCGTTCCCTCTTTTTATCGCGAGATGGAGAGAAGGCGTGAAGGTACGAGGGGGCGCATCTAAACGGCCAATCGTGATGCTTTTATTCTTTTTTTTTTTGTGAAGGTCATATGAAGCCTCCGGGTGAATGTAAAAAGATCTCTGATCCGCTCGTTCCTCTGTTTTTATGAAACAAATGATTTATGCTGCTGATGATGAGCAGAGTGAGGGATGAAGGAGGGAGGCGGGTTTTATCTCTGTCCATGGTGCTGATCTCTCCAGCACCATGGACAGACGCTCTGTTCACAGATCTGCTCTGAAAAAAATAATGCAACCGTTTTTGGCATTTACTTAATCATATTTAGTTACTTTAATATAATAGTTTCATGTTAGTTGGGTAGGACATAAAACAATTGTGTTAAAGTAAACAAATATGATTAAGTAAATGCTAAAAGAGGTTGCATTATTTTTTTCATTTTTCATGTTATTACAAACTTCACTCCATATGTATTTTTTATTTTAATTGATAACATAATAAATCGGTTTTACAGAAGGAAATGTTTATTTTTTATTAAAAAATATGGAAGTGATTGTATCCTTTTTTTATATTAAACCTTTCACATTTTGTCACAGCGGCTCTTCAAGGATATTTATGTGAAAGAACTAAAGAGGATGGCATAAATGAAAAGAGGTTTTCAGGTTTGCTGCAGGTTTTCATGTGGATTTTATTTGGGACTGTGCCTGGAAAGTTGTAACATGTACTGTAATAGAAAAAAAATACTTAAAGCAAAAGGAAAATTAATTGTAACTCAAAGGGGTTTCTTTCCGGGAATTGTGGTAGAATTATTCCTCTTTAACGGTTTAATGGTGCATCTGGAGAAGCTTCTGACTCTCTCTTCTTGTAGACAGTTTCACAGCTGAGTTTGTTTTCCAGTTAAACACTGAGGTATTTATACTCCTCCACCTCTTCCACTTCTATTTATTATGATTCTCCTCCTCACACAAAGTGAATTGCTTACAGCAAAAATGAAAAATTCAAGTAACTAACAAACAGAAAACTTCCATTTGTTTATTTCTATCAACTATTTTAGGAATTGTATAATCTTTAAATTGTTTTCCGGCATAATTTAAAATAGATTATTTTAGGAAGTTATCATTTATCAAATAAAAAAGACATTTGGAAAATAAAGAAAAATTGCATTAGTGTTTGTATTCTAAATGGCAACATGTAAAAAAATATATATATATTGATGTATCTACTTTGCCTTGTGAAAGTATTCAGCCCCCTTGACTTTATCAACCTTTTACCACATTTTAGGCTTCAAACATGAAGACGTGAAAGTGTAATTCTTTGTAAAGAATCAACCATGAAGTGGAACACAATTTATTGGATATTTTACACTTTTTTTTAGCAAATAAAAAACTAAAAAGTGTGGCATACAAAATTACAACTTTCAGTGCAGCAAACTCTTTCCAGAAGTTTAGTGAGGATCTCTGAAGTCCATTTAAAGGCAGAGAGCATCATGAAGAACAAGAAACAAACCAGACAGGTTGAAGATACTGTTCTGCAGAGGTTTAAAGCCGGATTTAGATACAAAAAGATTTCCCAAGCTTTAAACTAGTAATTTTATCTCCAAACTGATGACATTTGACACCTTTTCTGCTTCATTCAGACCGATTCAAATCCCTTTTATTAAAAAAAAAAAGAAGAAAGAATAACAGAAGTTACACAAGTAACCTCTTTTCTACACCAAACAGAATGTCCAAAAACACTCAGTACACAAGCACACAACACATGAATGACCAACAAAAATGTTCGCGTTGTTTATGAATTATTCTTTAATGGATAAATTACTTAAAACCTTTAATGAGGTACATATACTCATAAACAACACATACATAATCATATAATCATATACAGAAGAGATGCATCTTCATTTGGTGCAACAATTTCTACTGTCAGTAGATGCCACCCAAAAGAACTAGGTGAAGCTTCAGGTAGTAAACAACTTTATGACGCAATGGTTCAAAATGATTCAATGCTTCAAAAAGCCTTGTTTTGCCATCACTACTTTAAAAATCCCAATGAGCACTGTGAAAGTGATAATGTTGAAATGGAAGGAGTATCAGACCACTCCAAATTTACGAAGACTGATGAGAGATGCAGCCAAGAGGCCCATGATCACTCTGGATAAACTGCAGAGATCTACAACTAACTCTGGACTCTGTTCATGGGTCACCAGTCAGTCATTAACTGCAGAAGTCTAGTTTAATGGAAGAAAGCCAATTCTTAAAGATATCCATAAAAAGTCTTGTTTAAAGTTGTGGCCACAAGCCACATAGGAGACACAGCAAACATGTGAAAGAAGCTGCTCTGGTCAGATGAAACCCAATCAAACCTTTTGGCAACAATGCAAAATGTTATGCTTGGCATGAAGGCAACACAGCTCATCACTCTGAGAACACCATGCAACACACATGGTTTGGGCCTGCTTTTCTTCAGCAGGGACAGGGAAGATGGTTAAAACTGACGGGAAGATGGATGGAGACAAATACAGGAGCATTCTGGAAGAAAACCTGCTGGAGTCTGCAAAAGACCTGAGACGGGGACGGATATTTATCTTCCAACAAGACAAATCAAAAACATAAAGCAAAAACTGCAATGGAATTTTTTACATATAAACATATCCAGATGTTAGGATGGCAAAGTCAAAAATTGCTGTTCACAAAGGCTCTTCATCCAACCTCACAGACTCCAGCTGATTTGCAAAGAAGAATGGGCAAAACATTTTCAAACTGATAGAGACATAACCAAAGCAACTTACATTAGTAATCGCAGCAAAAGGTGGAGCTAGAAAGTTAACTCAAGGGGGGGCGATTCATTTTGCAGACTCCACTCTTCAGTTTGTTTCATTTGGTAAAGTTTTATATATCCGATACATTTAATTCCAATTCATGATTATGTCCCACTTGTTTTCTTCACAAAAACTAAAATTTTATGTCATTATGGTTGTAGCCTGAAATGTGGCAAAAGGATGAAAAATTGAAAAGGGCCAAATACTTTTGCACGGCACTGCATATTAGTGTTTATTGATTATTCATTTATTTTGAGTCTGTTTTTGTTAATAATACAATTTGATAACCAAATAAGTTGATAATTAATTTAATAATCAGTTTAATTATTCATTTCAGCCGTGTTTTTATTTTATTTTATTGCCTGTGTGGCTCAGAGGGAAACTGCAAATGAGGCTTACTTTCAGTAATCGCCGTCCTTGATTCAGATTTGTGGAGTTCACTATTAATGATCCTTCTGAGCTCTAAGACTTCTCCAGCTCCTCCTGTATTACGGTGGTCCTCTCGGCTGCTTCCTTGAGTACTCTCTCACCTTTAGTTTATGGTAAGCAATGCTATACTTAAATTGCTTTGACCTCATATGCTGTTTGTTTAGCAATGTTCCTTATTTACACAGTAAAGGATTTATCACTCAGTGCAACATGCACCCTCCTTTGGTTCAAATTTGAATAAACAGAAGCAACTTCTTTAGTTGGTGATTATTAACTAAGTGTAAATTACTAAAATGGTAAAAAGGCAACCAGATTTCAACAGCTGGTCCAGGAGTTTAACCTGGAGTAAAAGATTAAAGAACCTTCTTGAATAAGCAGATATCAATAATAATCATTTAACTAATAATAATTAATTGATTTTACCCTTGATTAGGATGGCCTGTTAATTAACTATAAATCTCAGTTCTAGTTACATAACATATTCATAATCTTCTGGTAAAATTGCACAACACACACAATGCTGCCTTGCAGATATCCTGACTGGGTCCCTGCTAGGTCTTGGAGTTTTTCCTAACTTATTTACTAAGGTTCTCACATAGACCATGATCATTGATGGAGGAGATTGCTTAAAATGTACTCTTCCTCTCTTGTCACATTGCTCCTGCTCAGCATCCCTGCCGCCTTTTTTTCAACTCAGCTGTTACTTGCAGAAGTAGTTCATGTATTATTTCAGCTTGAGGGATGTTAATTAGCTTCTCCTGGCTGAAAATAATCAATTTACTGTGTTTGCTGTGGTTAAATATCATAACAAGTATCCAAAAAGAAAAAAAACATGAGTAAAACTCCTTCATGGATATTTCATGGAGAAATAATGTTGACAAAATATTAAATAACAAACTGCTCTTATGCAGCAGTCGAGTTGTAAAAAAGAAGAAATAAATAAATAAAAAGGGAGATGGCGTATTTTTTATTTTTTGGAAGTATTCATGGCCTAATTGATATATTCTATTAACCTAAAGCACTATGCATGGAATGGTTGTTATACGTCAGGTATGCCGGATATTGACCTTGATCAAGGCACCTTTCAGTAGAACTGCTGTCAGTCCCTGGGCTGGCATGGCTATCACTGCCCCTACATAGTTAGGGACAAATGCAGAGGATTAATCTCCCATTGGGATCAGCTTCATAGTCATGGCAGGCCACTTCTTTGATTTCACTTTGGAAAATATTTTGGCTATGAATCTATTAAGATTTGAAACAAATCCTCACAAAACATTGCACGTAAATATCTGAATCCTTTCAAGTCAAGTATTTTTTCATTCAAATTCAATCAATTAAATTGAAACAGCTGAAGTAATTTTCAAAATCTGCAAAAAACTGTTTACAAATTCAAATACATTAGAATTAGTCTGAAAATTACATAAGCATATATAAAATTTGATAATTTCCCTCACCTTTCCAATATTAATTTAGAGTATTTATTTTATCAAATAGACTGTTTATCAGAAAATCAGTATTGCTTCTATTGGCTAATTTAAAGTAAGCTACGCTACATGCTGGCAATGAATGAGTTAAACCCATTTAACAGGTCCGTCGAACTAAGCTATTTACCATTGATCGGACAGCAGTTATTCTGCAAGTCACACGAGGGACCTTGCAGTCAGATGTCAACATTCAATTAATTTATGATCAGACATCAACTGTAACGTAAAGGAA